GGAGGATGGCATTCATTTACTTTTGTTTTATTTGGTATTTTTTCAGTCATTTTTGGAAATAGTGATCAATTTTGATTAATTCACAGCCTATGTTTAATTACATTTAAAAATTAGTTGTTTGACATCCCCAGTTATAATAAATGTCAACAGATGAGATCAAACAAAACAGATGAGAACTGCCCTTAAGCTGTTTAGATAGATGTAGCTTAGGGTCTCTGTCTATACACCTTATAAGACAATTTAGATGATGGCATGTTGTTTTTCTGCTATTGAACTGTTTTCTAATAATGTTGTGTTAAATAAAGTGAAGGAAGGAGAGAAATAACGTTTCCCTAGCAGTTTTTAAAAATTTCCCCATGTAATCCGATTAATCGTGTCGAGACCCCATCCGATTAATCGATTATCCAAATAATCGTTTGTTGCAGCCCTAGTATCTAATTATTATCATCGTGGCTTGAAGTGTCCTTCTTCTGGGACGGATGATGTTATGGTCTTGAGCAGACATCGTGGCTCCTTGGGTTTAATCTGTGGATTCAAAGTACTGTTTGACCCAGCTTGACCCAGCTGGGCAAAGGTGACCTTTGGCACAGATCAGAGAACCTTCATGCCGTTACAGGGAGAAACGCTATTTTAGGTTTTGTGTGAAAATAAGTCCAGGACTACAAATGCGCTACACGAAAGTGACGTCATCGAACCAGACACGGAGAAAACAGAGGGAAAATGGCTGTAAGTTCAGCTAACTTCAAATCCTTCCCACAGGAGGAAAGAACCACCATAAATCTGGCCATGTGGTAAGTAGCAGCTACGCTAGGGGAGAGGAGATTATTACGAACTTTTACAAACTGATTAATCTCAAAGTACATGGCTGGCGTGATCGAAACACCCATCATTACTTTTCATTTAAATATAAGTACAACATATGTGCGATCCAAGGCGTAAGGATTAGAAAATAGCGTTTTTAGCCCCCGTTGACTTGCATTGATTATTTCGTTCTTCCGAGAACCCATGAGCCGACCGGAAAGGTCTGTGAGAACCCTGAGTTCAGGAGCTGCTGCGGTGCGCTAGCGTATCAGCTTCTCATGAGATACAACCTCCAGGACCTGTTTTCTGAGACTGTCGCTTTGATGAACATCCTCATCAAAACCCCAAAGACGACAGCTGAGGCTGAGAGGTGCTTCTCAACTCAAAAGAATTAAAAAATTTCTGAGAAATTCAATGGGCCAGGAACACCTTAATGCGCTGTCCATGCTGTCCATAGAGAGGGAGCTAGTCTGGTCCATGCCTGACTTCAATGAGAAGGTCATCGATCACTTTGCTATTTTGAAAGACAGACGCGCAAAGTTTCATTACAAATGAACAGGTTCCATATCTTTGCTTGTGGCATAAACTACTTGCTGTGAAACCTTTATTTCTTTTACTCAAAATGCAACAAACCAGATAGTAAAAACGTAATAGATTGATGAAACTATTCACATAACCCTATTTTCTTTAAAAAAAAGTTACAGATAGCTGATTTATTGCTGATTGTTTTTTAAATATACTTTCTCTATTCTGTTTGCTGTGTTCAACTTGTTCAATGATCATACATTTTATACTTACAGGCCTGTATTCATGATCAATTGTATATTAGTTTTCACATTTGATCTAAATATCACTATTGCATCACATCATTAAACATTTTTTTTTACCTTGAATTTGTTTGCTGTAATACTTTGATTTACTTACTTTACTGTAATATTTGAGTACCGTATTTTCCGGACTATAAGCCAACACTTTTTCCCACGCTTTGAACCACGCGGTTTATAATGAGGTGCGGCTTTAGTCAACCAGAAAGGATGGATGCCGGAAAGTCTAATGAAGGAATGGTTAAAGGAGTGCTACAGAAAGCGCCCAGGAGGATTTTTTTCACAGTAAAACGGCGCTGCTTGTTTTCCCAGCTTCACCCCGGGATGACGACAGCAACACAGACCGCGACACTGACATCGCCACAGAAAAGGTATGTGACGAAGCTCTTCTGAGGCTGTTCAGCTCCGACACTGAAGAAGATGATGACTTCAGTAGTTTCAGTGCGCAGGAGGACGATGAATAAACTAATCAATAACTTTTCTGTTTTGTTTGATACTGATCAGTTCAGTTACGTTCAGTTAAACTACGTTTTCAATTCAGTAGATATCTGCGGCTTTTAGCCCAGTGCGGCTTATATTGAGGTACGCTCTATAGTCTGGAAATTACGGTATTCACTTGCTGAAGGGCCTAAATAATCACATTGCTTAGAAAACTATAGGCTGACTTAGATAATAGGGTTGTAGAGCCATATGAGGAAATTAAAATTTTGTTAAACAGGTAGATTTTGGGGCAATAAAAGGTAGACTTTGTGGTCATGTATCACCCCCTCCGAGATTTTTCTCAGGAGCCGCCACTGCTTCAAACACTGCAGTCTGTGGGAGAAGCAGAGATTTGTGACAAAAAGGTAGAGGAGAACATTTATGAACTATCAAGCGAGTGAATTTACACCTTAAGAAATAATAATCAATGAAAATTTGACAACTTGCTGAAAGAAACATTATTTTTTCTTTTCATTCGTTATGACAGAGAATTATTTTGGCTGTAAGTTTTCTAAACTGGTGCTGAATGAAGAGCCCGAGGTGAACAACTACCTTGATGACTATACGAATCCTTTAACAGGAGAAACTTACTGTAAGGGAAAAGACAATGATATAATAAACCACATTATGGACACATATCAGAACTGCAGGGTCTATGGAATTCTTCACAACAACTGTGAACACTTGGCTACCTTTGTGCGCTACGGCGTAAGGGTAGCACTGCAGGCATGTGGCCTACTCATGTGCTTTAAGTCAACATTTGCCATTTAAAATTTTTTTTTCATTTTGTTCTTTAACACTGACATATTTCTGCAACCTTAAACCTGGACTTTGCTGAATACTGTCCATGCGTTTAACCCAAGGGGCAAACTCCATCTGCCAAAAGTGAAACCAACGAGGAAGTGACGAAAATTGCAGCCCACATGGGGCTGGCTCCAGAAAGGAGCAAGTTACCATTGACTCCAATGTTTAAAATGCCAACTTCACAGCAGAAATAAACATGTGTGCAGCCTGGTTCAAAAAAACATTTTAGTTTAATATGCTAAAGTTACCATCATGGCAACTCTGAAGGAGGTGTAATTTGTCTAACTCATCCATTTAGATGTAATTAAAGGAGTAGATCACTTGTTTCAATCCTTCCCAGGGGTGAAAAATATATCGGTGCACCATTCCTCTGACCAAAAATTTGTCCCCATCACAACAGAGCTTTAGACGACAGGCTTTCGCATCTTATTTCCTAATATCTAAACATTTTGCCCCTTATTGGATAACAGCAATGTGATTACCATTGACTTGCAACGTGGATATTTTATCTCCACAATGAACACAAGCCTGGAGGTGTTCTGTTGTGTGGTGGAGTTGCTAATGCTAGCGGTTAGCTTAAACTAGCAGAGACGTCCTCTGCTGATTCTCGAACGTTAAAACGACGACATCCTTCTCAGTCATGAGTCAAGATCGTCAAGATCGGCAGTGCATAAATGCTAATTCAGTAGGATGTAGATGTCACATTGAGGTGTGGGTGGCGGCGGACCAGGAGGCAGAAATGCAGGCTCAGATAACGCAAAAATGGATTTAATGGCAGATGATACAGAAGGAAACAACAAGACACAACAATGATCCGACGAGGGACACATAAAGACGGGAGGTATAAATACATGGGGAACAATCAGGAACACATGGGCAGATTAACAAGGGGCAGGTGAGACCAATAACTAATCAGGGGCAGGAGAGAGTAGGAGTCAGAGGGAGGTAGGAGCAGATCGTGACAGTAGATCTGTGAGGATTTTCAAATTTTAGAGTTTCTATCAGAAGCTGATTCAGGAGATAGGTACAGCAGACTAGTTTCATGGTCAGCCTGCATGAAAAACTCAGGGTGACATGGTTATAATCAGAAACATTTAAAGTTTAAATTGATGAATAATCTGGGGCGTGTCCCTGTGATTGACAGGTAGCAGATGAGCTGCCAGTGCTCTGCTTGCTCAAGGGAAGGCGTCAGCCTCGGTCTCACATTAATGAGAAATGACACGAACTTGTATAGCACCTTTCAGAGTCAGAGGACTCCAAAGCGCATTACACTATTCATCCATTCACACATATTCACACTCTGATGGGGACGAGCTACATTAGCCACAGCTGCCCTGGGTCGCACTGATGGAGACGAGGCCACCGGTCCCTCAGACCACCACCAGCAGGCAAGGCAGGTAAAGTGTCTTGCCCAAGGACACAACAGCAGAATTCTCTGCCGGGACCAAGCCTGCAACCTTTCGACTACTGGACAACTCGCTATACCTCCTGAGCTACTGCTGCCCCAACTTCCAACTAACTAGATTTTGTACAGTTAATCCCCTTGATTTGTTTACAGCTCAACCTGACTGGTGAGGATCTCATATTTGGAAATGATAAAATAGACAAAAAGCATTAACTGGAACACCAGAGGAACAAATAAAAATGCCACCATCCTCACCATCACAGGGACTAAGCACATTTCTGATCACATCCTGCTGAAGGAACATCAGGTGTTTTACATGGAGAATTCACACCTGTGGAGGAACCACCTGGAAACAATCTGCACTGAAGAACATAGTCCTGGTTCAGCAGGCAGTTTGTGAACATTTTATATAAATGTAAACATTTAAGCTGTTTTATTAACTGCTTTCATGCTGTATACCGAATTATGAACACTAAATGCTTTATAATGCATGTTTTGTTTTTGAATGTTTTTATCCTGTTGTGACAAGTTTGTTTTTACATTTTCTGCTCTTGCTGCTGCTTCTCAATCGACTTACCTGGTTAAATAAACGTTTTGAGCTCTAGCATGTCAGGAGACACCTCAAGGAAAATACAGAGCATTAAATACCTGTCCCATCCATGGACAATAAAAGGAGACAAAAGCTCTCCGATTTACAATTACATTTAATGTTGATACAGAGGCTTAAAATACTTCATTGCCTGGCAATAGTTACGAACAGTTTCTCAAAATTAAGAGGCAAATCATATGGAGAAAAAAAACAATTAACAAGGATTCATTTATTCTAAGTTATTGTATTTTTTCAAAAACTTCTGCAATACAAGGTTCACAGGAGTTAATGATAGGGCAACACCACAGCCATAAATATTTAACAACAACAGAAGAAAGTTGATTTTTATGTTCATCTGTTATAATTCTTAGTAAACGGGAAAATGCAACTTTTTATCTATTTAAACTTTTACAAAATAATTCAAAAATTGAATATTTCAAATGCAGTTGATGCTTTATGTCTTTTTTCTGACTTACTGTGGTAAAATAAGCTACATAATGTAACACGTGGGATCAAGGGCTTCCATCATAGTGCAGGTTTCTTTATCATCACCCCGACTGTAAGTGACAGTTCTGAGGAACTACTCCACAGGTCGGATTCCCTTGGCCTCCTCCATTTTCCTCAAGGTCTCATCCCACTGGGTGAACTGCTTGGACAGCAGGAACATCTGCCAATCAGACGCCACAAATCAGTGTGTTTTCATCCCCGTATGATTTACACAAAGCTAATAATGCCAGCTGTATTTTACTAAAATGTAAAAAATTAATCTTGTACACGGTACCGTTTTGTTGTACTCCTCAAACAGCTTCTTCACCTCCAGCGACTGAGTCTCAGTTTGGTCCTGCAAGACAATCTCACGAATAAAACCAATAACAACAGAAAGATTTGGTGCAAAAGAAAAGCAGATGAAGAAAAACGGCTACCTGTTGTTTTACGTGAATCTGAGACAGTCGCTGCAGCTTTGTTGCATGTTCAGGTACATCTGTGCACATTAAAAACGGACAAATGAAAGAAATAATACAGCAGCTAAGAACATTTCATTACCGGTTTAAGACAACAGATTTAGGTTAATAGAATTAATCCCGATAAAATACAGATTTTCAAACAGGTCAGGTAAAAGCTGTATCTAATTTAAAAGAAGTATCAAACCTCTGATATAGGTGCTGTCCAACAGTGGCTGCAGCGTGTTGACCTGCTCCAACAGAGCAGCTTGAGAAAGCAAGAACTCTTCCTCTGCAATCACACAGAATTAACACCATAAACTTTACAGAATATATAGCAGAAATTATTTATGGCAAATATAATACTGCTGCACAAGTGGTTTTACATAAAAACAAGGCTTTCCCTCTGGTTCATACCAGCAAGAATGAACTCCAGCTTCATGGCATCAGGTAAAGTCATGTGGTCGGTAAACTGCGGGTCCAGATACTTCATCAGGTCCTCAACTGAGCACATCAGTAAAATTTCTGTAAGCACTGGTATCTTGTCACCACTTGCTCCTTATCCATGAATTAGTGTTGTTTTATAGTAAGTAATAGCTTATTACTTAAAAGATAAAATTGAACGACTAAAGGCAATCAACACTGAGATAAATGAGTAATATTGTAATTGAGAAGTAGCCTGAACAGTATAGTAAGCGTCAATAAGCCTGATTCACACTAGAGATGGGTAATAAAGTGTGCCTCACTTTTCTTGTGCAGGATCTTGACTCGTTCTCGCTTGTTGGCTGTGTTGGTCAGACCTGCTTGAATCCTAGCCAAAGATTCTGCACACTAGAAGGCAAAACATATCGATTAGCTTAGATTAAAACAGACAAATTAAATATGAGTGTTTTAGCATGTGAAGCCTTATTGTGCTGTGTCCAGTTTACTGACTTAACAACGGATGAAAACACTCAAATTCATCTACTGTGGAATGACACGTTACATTGATAGATAGATTCTTGATTGTCCTTGTAAAATATAATAATGAGATTAGGTTTAAATACATAACATGTCAGCGAGAATTGAGTTATGGATTAATCATGGATTAGACTTAAATACCAGCTGTATTAAACTAGATTGCAGCCATAGCTGTCATGGGAAAATCTCATAGCTGCATTAAAATTTTTCCTAATTTAGCACCACACCTATCAGTAAATCTAATCATTACAAAACACAGAGATTGGGATTTTGTGGCTTTTATTTTGGCCTGAATGTATAATAATAAAAAAGGTGTATTTGTTAGACATCATATGATGCTCTAACGTGACACCCTTCTGGCAAAAATTATGTCGCCATATTATGTTTACTACAGATACATAATTAATTTATTCCTTTACACATTAGAAAACTAGTTACTTCCTAATGTTTCATAAAAGTCACACAAAATTCAATTAAACAGAAAGGGCGTTCACTAGCAGCTGGTAACAACCGACGTTTGTTATGCTAAGATAACACCTAGCTAACTTGTCCATTTAAATATTCCTTTTATGTTAGGAAATGAGTATTAATGACAGACCTTGATAGGTTTTCCGCTTTTATTTTTCCTGTCGCCGTACATTCGGTTCTCCAGTGCCTGAAGACGCATTTCAAGGCCCTCCATGTTCAATTTTTGGTCCATCATTTCTGTAGCTACCTAGCAGCTTACACGTCCCGTCGCAAAATGATGACGCATCACTGCTTATTCCAAATTTTTCTTCCCATTTTACAAGTAACGATAAATTTTGATGTTTTAAATTATTTTTCCACCGTAATTGCCAACTTCCTGTGATATGTATATTAAAGATAAAGAGAGTTTTTTGCTATACTTGGTGTAAAGTAAGTTGTCAGCAGGGGTCGCTGTTTTGCGGGTAATTGTAGCCGTTTTCCGGTGACAGCTGAGACATCTTGACAACACACCAGCGAATGTGGCCCTACAGCTATTCAGGCTGACTAGAAAACATTTAAAAAAGTGAGATAACCTACTTGACAGTAAAGTCTGTCTTTCTCAATAAATATCCACTCATATGAAGCAATATATAGGAAACAAGCACGCATCGGTTCATCCTACCCGGTCTTCCTTAAACCTCCAGTTGCTAAGTTAGCCCAGCTAGCTCTCAAGCTAACGTCAATCTTGGGTGACGATTGTGTAGCGTGGAGCTAGTTTGGAAGCCCAGCAGGTAAGTTGTTGCCTATATTACTTGATAATAACTGTACTAAAGTTATGTATTATCTGGTAACTCGGGGTGGGGATACTTTTGCAGCAACTCTCACATATGCTACTAAACGTTTTATTACTTTTGTCTGCTCTGTTTTTGAGCAGGAAGTAACTTGCTGTGGGAGTCAGGCTTCGGCGTTTGGAGATTTTCTTCTTTATGTCCCATTGGAAACAGCAGCTGCAGCATGGCAGATGACAAGGATGTACTGAGAGACGTTTGGTTTGGTCGGATACCCACTTGCTTCACCCTGAACCCGGATGAGGCTACTGAGAGAGAGGCAGAACCTTACTATGTAAGTGGATCAGCTGCTCTCTGGTGGAGAAACAGACCAACGAACTAAAGCAAAGCTAAAACATCAGTATTGTCATCTATTATAAAATAATTGATTCAACAGATTTTCTGGTTTCATGAAATAGCCACCAGCAAATATGCAGACTCAAGCTGTATGTGCCTGTGTGTTGAGCTGGGACTGTTTCTTTCTATAACCGGTTTACTTTTGCAGCTGCTGCTCCCCAGGGTGAGCTACCTGCCTCTGGTCACAGACAAGGTGAAAAAACACTTCCTCAAAGTGATGAAGGCCGAGGACGTGGAGATGTGGTTCGAGTACGAAGGAACACCACTCAAATGGTAAGAAACCTTCAGTCATCTAATCTGCAACAACAGTGAAGCTTCTTGTATTATAAATGTATTTTGTTTATGTATGTGATCATTCATTCTCATTTCCATTTGCTAAAACATTAAGTTTCTTTACTAAAATAATTTTACAACCCTGCCAGTCTTTCTCATAAAATTCTTACCTATATTCAGATAATTAGTTTATTGTTGTTAAAAGACTACAGATACTACTACGCACATCACATGCTTACAACCAAATCACCGCATCAGTGTCAGCATTAGAATAAACGCCTAGCCCTCCTAAATGACAAGGTGCCTAATAATCAGAGTAATGGCAGAAAACAGATTCACACTAGCTTTGCTGAGTCATGTTCTCCAGAACTAGTTAGAAACATCCACAGTCACCCCTTTAAGCCTCGTACCTTCGCACATACCAGATATGTCTGAGCTGTGTTCACCTTTTGTCTTTGCTTCTTATCTGTTCTGCTATCATCTGTTAATGCAGCTTTGCTTGTTTAGATGAGATGCAGACACACATTTCAGCCACAAGGTGTCTCTGTTGTAAAACATTTGATGCATTAATTTAATAAAAATCAATTGTTTTAAAAGTAATTGAGAAAATCTGTAGCTCTTTAACGGAGTAATTTTTGTAATGTTAGAAAGTACAATTTTTTTTAACTCTCCAAGTTTGACTTTCAATTTTTATAATCTATTATTATTAATAATAATAACATTATTATTATTATTATTGTAACGTCCAGCAATGGTCAGTTTTCACCTAAAAACTGACCTACATGCCACCGGTCACCGGAAGACATGAATTCCATTCTCTTAAGGTGGATTTCACATTCTACATTCCAACAAGCAGTGCGTTTACATGCAGCCAGTAACCCTTTTAAAACCCAGATTCACAATAACCCGGTTCCGCAGGTCCATGTAAACACCGCCAAAAACCCGGATATGCTCATAACCGGGGTTTTAAAAACCCGGTTACTACACTTGGGGTAACCCTTTTCTAACCCGAATGGTTGGTCGTGTAAACGCATATCGGGATATCCCCATCAAAGCGTGTGTTCTGCGCGTGCTCTGTTCGCAAGGAATCTTGGTCTTTTGAGTAGCGAGACGTCTTGTATGCGCCAGAACACCGGAAGTAAACAACAAGTTGGGAGCAACATGGCGAGTCGCGGCACAGCACCACACTTTTGGAGTGACGAGGAAACTAAAGCGCAAACAAACGCGGTCACTATCTCTTCCGAACTGGGAAACATGTTGTTGTTTTCACGGATACCGGAACAAGTAGAACCGGAAATGATGCATATTGCATCTGGGCGTAGTCCATACGTCCTGACGCTACCCCAACGTCCGCATTTAAATTGGGTTATGCAAGTTAGGGGTAACTCTTTCTATTTATGCTTGTAAACGGGTTATTCTGATCAACTCAGAAACCCGAATACCGACCTTAACCCGATCATAACCCGGATATTGGCTGCATGTAAATGTAGTGAAGGTTCTGCAAACCTTGTCGACATTTCAGGAGGGACACGATGTCAGCCTGTGTTCCCAAACAAAGCCTTCTTCTGATAACACCGCAGGATTCCTCATGCCTCTGAATAAAGTTACTATTTTCAGCTCACATGAGTTAATCAATCGTGAAATGGAATGAACAAATGTTTTATGAAATGATCAATAATGTTTTGATTAATCTGTGCTTAAATTAATAGGGTTGATTAATCTGTGCTTGAACTACTGAAGTTTGAAATGAAACATTTTGATATTATGATCAGTAATGTTGGTTTAACTAGTGAATCGCTATTTTCTGACAGCTCACACACTCAGACACGTGACGATGACAAGGTTAAGCTAATATCCTGACACATAGATATGTTCTTAGCCACAAATCAGAACATCCTGTATCTGAAAGAGGCGTGACGTTCTGAGGTTCGCTTGTGAACACCCCTTAACATGGCACGTCCCGGTTGGCCAAGAATTCATAATATGAGAATGTTAAAACAGAGCTCACTAGATGGTGAGTCAGTTCTAGAGAAAGCTACGGACAGGCCATCCGTAGCGAACCCTCTTTAACCCAAAGCTTTCGACAAGCTAAAAGCTGCCTACAGCTGACACAGCAAAACGGTTCCTTCAGCCATTCAGAAACAGCAGTTCTAGACACAAACGATGTCATCTATCTGTTGTGATCCGGGAGATGACTGTGGACCGAACTGGTCGTACTGCGGTCTTTTCTACAACTTCGGTACCTTGGGGTCACCCGACCCCCCCGACATCTCGGATCCGAAAGGGTGTCTCCTCAGGGGTACGTAGAACACAGCCAGATTGCGTCTGATGCCGTTTTGATAAGAACCAACTTCATAGTTTAATGCAAACCAAATTCTTTACACCCAGAACTCAGTTCTTCTAGATACAAGGTTCTGATAACCTCACATTCACACATAGTCACCATACATCACATCCCAGCCTCTTAAATTCATCCATCACAGTAGCCTTGGTTAACTTGTCTTGTTTTTAATTTGTTTAGAAAATAAATTTCTTATCTTTTATAAACCTGACTCTGAATTGAGACAAAGTGTGTGTTGATCCCTGAAAAAGCAAAGAGTCTTAGAATCTTCTGATTAAACATCCAAAGACCAAGCAGGTTGATATTCTATATTTATATAGAGTATCACATCTTATTGGTCGTAAGTAAAGGTAATATATTAAGCTTAAAAGAACAACTTTTACCACTCTACATTATCCATCCATCCATCCATCCATCCATCCATCCATCCATCCATCCATCCATCCATCCATCCATCGTCTGAATCCGCTTATCCATGTAGGGTCGCGGGGGGACTGGTGCCTATCTCCAGCGGTCAATGGGCAATCAGGCGGGGTACACCCTGGACAGAGAGCTAGCCCATCGCAGGGCAACACAGAGACACACAGGACAAACAATCATACACACACACACTCACACCTAAGGACAATTTAGACAGACCAATTAACCTCACAGTCATGTTTTTGGACTGTGGGAGGAAGCCGGAGTACCTGGAGAGAACCCATGCATGCACAGGGAGAACATGCAAACTCCATGTAGACAGATCCCAGGCCGGGAAGCGAACCCAGAACCTTCTCGCTGCAATGCAACAGCTCTAACCACTGCACCACTGCGCAGCCCACCACTCTGCATTATTATTATTAATAATAATAATTAAGGACCACTTTTATGACCAGGCATTTTTAAACTCTTGACTTTTATTAATTGTATTCTTTTATTGACTGTGATTTTACAGTTTTGTGGTGTACTTTTATTATTGTGTTTTTGTTTTTATGTTGTGTTTTACTTTTTATCTGTACAGCACTTCAGTCGGCTGCCATGTCCTTTTTAAATGTGCTTTTTGTTTATCTTCTTGATAATGATAAAACAAGCAATATGATGAACTCTTGTAATTATTTTCTCAGACTAAGAAGAAGAAGAAACAATCTTCTATAATACAAGATTAAAATCACAAGGCCCTTCACAAGAACAAAAATGCAAAAATAAATAACAAATAAAAATGATTTAAAACATCATAAAAATGAGAAAAGTAAAAAATTGTGATAAAAAATTTAAGGAACAGCAAAGAGAAAATGAATAAGAAAGAGGTAATCAGTGGATCCCAGGAAAGGCTGAATTTGGAGAAAGACCTGAATAAGGAGAGGGCGATGATGAAGGTCACGCAAAAACTGATCAAGAGTAAAAAAAAATGTCCTCCTTAAATTTTTAATTTCTTTTTTCTTATTCTTTTTTTTCTTTAAGGCATTATCCAGTTGGAGTCCTGTTTGATCTCCATGCCTCCAACACTGTTTTACCCTGGAGCATCACTGTGCACTTTAAGGTGAGAACCAATCAGAATCTGTTCACAAATTATTAAGTCATTAAGCCCATGAGTGGAGGAAAATGCTTTGTTAAAGATGTAGTAGGAGATGATTTTCTTGCCATTAAAGCAAGTTATGGTATGTTCGATTTACCTTGGATGTTGGAACTTGGAACTGGGAATGGTGTCACACCCAAGTTACCTGAGTTCTGGTTTCAGTAGTCGGGGAAGTCAGGATTCCAATATGGCGACGCCCACTCCCCAAGTAGCCATTGTTTGTTGATTGCTCTTAATAACATAGTTTTAAGCTGTATGTTCAACATGCACATAAAACTTTTAGTACGTTCAACTTACAGTTGCACTACATGCAACATTGGTTTTAAACGCACTTAATAGTTTGTTTTGTAAAATAAACATGTTTCACCCAAAAGTTACTGTTGTTGATACCGAGAGCTGCCATTTTGGATGTCAAGGTCGGAGTTCTGAAATTCTTCCAAGTTTCTGACTGGGAGGTCTGACTTTTTGTGGCGTTTTGTTTAATTTTTCCTACTCGGAAGTCGGGATTCCCGAGTTCCAAGGACAAATCGAACGCACCATTACTTGTTGAAAATACTCACTTCAAAGGTCCAACTCCCTTTCTCCAGAGTACAGAAACGCCCATCTCTTGTTCCCCAGGGTTTCATTTTACCTTCTGGACCTGTTGTTGGCACTTAATTTGTGCCATAGTTCTTAACCTAACGCACCGACGTAACCGTAAAACTTTAGCATGCTAGACTAGCTAATGTAGCGTGGTGTTTTCACGGTGAAAAACAAGGCAGTTTTTAGCTTTTTTGTTTATTCTCAACTTCTAAATCCTATCAGCTCAGTTCCATTGACAATCTGGAAAAAGCCCATAAACAACAGGTGAAAACTTCCAGAACCCCACCAGATCCCCTCGCAGTTTATATGGCTTATAACATTCTGACCATCTAGAATTCCAACACTTCCAATAGTAGCTTTGTCATCTATGTGGCAGAGTTTTCCAGACCAGGACCTCCTTCACTGCCCGTCGAACTCCGTAGTAGAAGCTCACTTCATGTCCAGCATCAAGGAGGCCGACGCCCTGAAGCACAAGAGCCAAGTCATTAACGACATGCAGAAGAAAGACCACAAACAGCTGTGGATGGGCCTGCAGAACGGTGAGATGCACGTGCAGACACTCACATTTTAATGAAAACAGACCACAGACAGCTGTTACACACCCACAGATTAACACAAACATCCACATGTGCTGTATTCCAGCGACTCATCCACCTACACATACGTGTATTGTGCAGATTTAGCTCCTGGAACACTTTTTTTGTCTTGTGTGGCGTTTTTACAAACAATCATTTAATTATGTTCAGACATGCATACGTTCAAACCTGTTTGGCATCCTTTAAGAAAACATCGATCAGTCCTCATCTCCCACACCTTCCACCACATCTGTGCTGACAGGTCAGTTTCTAATCGGATGTTAACTGTGGTGTATGTGTGGTTGATGGTGGGGGTATTCGGATAGTTCACTACATGCATGTAGGAGCTGGATGGTGCTCAGTTTCCTAGGGGTTATTGGTGATAAGATGCTGTTTAGGTGATATGTTCCTGATGAGATATCCAAGAGCGATTTGCCCTTGAGCCCTTTCATACGTAATGGCTTAATGTTTGGGGTCGTCCGGGCCACGGTTTGTTGCCTCTAGCTGGTGCAGAACGCTGCTGCGTAGTTTCTGATGGGGAGGTCTGAGCACATCGCATCAATCTCGGCGCCCCTCCACTACTTGCATTTTATGTTTCATTTTAAAATTTTCTTAATGGTTTAAAATCGCTCATTGGCTCTGCAACTCCTAATCTATCAGACCTCTTAAAACCCTACATACATTCCCATTCACTTAGGTCAGCTGGTCAGACGTTGCTGGAGGTACCAATATTGCGCTGCAAATCCAGGAGAGGGAGAGCTTGTAAAGTGGCGGGAGACAGACTTTAGCATGCATTGCCCCTTCAGATCAAACAGGCCTCCACCCTCTTTGTTTTTAAATCTCTTTGAAGACCAATTTTATTTCTTAGGCTTTTAAAGGTGGAATATGGAACACAGAGCACCAAAGTGACATCTAGTGTGTGGAGGTTGTAGCTGCAACTATAGACCAATGTTTCCAGCCGTCGGGATGTCAGGTTATTTGGGTCCAACTTCCGCCTTCATCAGAGCCGCCAGCTGTTCATGACGTCACTTCCGTTTACGTGCGGGCAGCAAAGTACGATGTCGCCCTCTGCTGCCCGCATCCTTCACGCTGATGACGCAGTCCCATGTGATCCAACGTGTAAACACTGTTGTCTCTGTTCATGGTGTTGTGTCTGCGTCTCCTTATCTCCATCTCTTCCTTAATCCGTCTTCTGTATTTTTGTTGTTCTTTATTTATGATTCGTGCGTTGTCCCAATTCATTATTCCATGTAGAGGTATTCTTTTTTTTTATTACAGCTTTTTATTAAAGGATTCCATATTCAAGGTTGGGGTGGGGTTGCCCCCATTTGTCTCTTTGTAGAGCTGCCCCTGTTCTTAATCTATTCCTCAACAAACTTTATTGAAGTCAGATTTACCTATAAACTGGTGTAACTTGTTATGTAATTAAGTAGCAGAAATGATTAACGTTCCTGGTGCTTAACTGAAAGCTGCTTCATGTGTGAGGGTGAGAACGTTTCAGATGAGCCAGTTTAAAAACCCGAAGGCCCTCTCACTGGTAGAACTTCATCTCTTTCATTTCCCCCCTGAAAATAAAAGTGGTAAAGAGATCATCGGACACATCTCGTTACTAAAAGATCAAACACAAAGGATAGGAATAATGAATCTAGTTTTCTTTATTGCTTTGAAAAGTTGAAGGTGTCTTATTTACAGTTCTGTTGCTAAACTTATTAGAAAAGTGATAAAAAGTGAAGAAAAAAATCCCTAAAGGAAGAGTCGCACATGAAAGTGAGAGATGAAACTTTACCTTTGCTCAAACTTTCATTTCCAAAAGAGAATAGAAACAGAAAAGGTTTAACTTTCATCATCTAGAAGAGAGAAGTTTTATGTGGATGGTCTGAAACCAGCAGGTTTTTTTATTTAACGGTTTAAAATCCTGCAACTCCTCCATTTTTATCATTAAATATTTGGATTCACTTTCCTTTCTCAGATTGATCTAAATCCAAAATTTCTAAAATTTTACGAGACTATTTACTCCACTTTTGTGTTCTCTGCCACGATTATTCATGAAACATTACACTGCTGGATTATTCACCTCACTACCAACACCTAGCAGGATGACCGGACCTGTATTACTGTATTGTACTGGGACAGCAGTAGCTCAGGAGGTTGTCCAGGAATCGGAAGGTTGCAGGTTCAATGCCGTCTCTGACCAGAGAATGCTGTTGTGTCCTCTTTGCCTTTGTCCTATTTGCCTGCTGGTGGTGGTCGGAGGGATGCTAGTGTTTAGAGGCCTTGCCTCTGTCTGTGCGCCCCAGGGCTGTGGCTACTGTACATCGTAGCACATCCCCACCAGTGTGTGAATGGGTGAAGAACCCTAGAAAGGTGCTATACAAATACAGGCCATTTACCATTTATTATATATCCCCCAGAAACCAAAATTGTATTTATTTATTAAATAACTAAGTAAATAATTCATCAAACCATTGGTTGACTAATTAACAAATTAATCAATCTACCTATTTCATTGCTTATTATTATTATTATTATTGTTATTGTTATTATTATTATTATTATTGTTATTATTATTATTAGGGGTATAGTTCTTTTATTTTCCCTAGTTTTCTTGTATTTGTAGGAGGTATGGAAGTAAAGGAACAAACATTGACTTCGAATATTTAGCAGTTCAATGTTAAAAGGTCAAGATCAAATTTATTTCTAAAAACATTTACAACAGAAAATGCTGCCAAAAGTGATTCATATGTTAAGACAGTAAAATAGATACAAAATTAAAAATAAACAACTAAAATAATATGATTAAAATTTACTAAAATTGATAGACAAGAATAAAAATGATGTGTTTCTCAAATTAAATAAGGGTAACATTTTACAAGTAGGGTCCCTTTAATAATGTTACTTAGTGCATTATTAAGCATTAATAAACTATTAAATAAAGTATTAACTGCATAACCATTAAGCAGACATGCCTTTTAGTTTCAGGTTGGGATTAAAAACTAAGCAAATAAAATGAAAATTGTTATAACATTTAAAAATGTTTTAGTTTATATTCACACAATAAACATCGTGATGATTTTTGTGATTTTGAAGTGAAAATAAAAGGATGATGATGGTTACGCGGAAGAATAAATGAGCCTTTATTGCTTTAACCTTCCTCGATTTAGAGCGAGGCTAATTCAAATCCAGCAGAAGACAGATTATTGTCTGAGAATCACAAAGGTTTTCCTGAGTGTCCTGGAACATGATTCTGAAACTTATACATGTTTCGTCATCGGGGTAGTTTTAGTTGCTGATCTGTGTGTTTGTGCTTTCCTAGATAAGTTTGACCAGTTCTGGGCGATGAACAGGAAGCTGATGGAATATTCCACAGAGGAGGGAGGCTTCAGATACATCCCCTTCAGGATATACCAGGTGACACAAGCAGAGCTGTTGACACCGTCCACAGAAACTCAACTTAACTAAACTCCCACCTGTAGATGGAGTCAAAACGCTGTAAAAGACTCTTTAACCTCTCCAAGGAAACACCTCCAACCTTTCACTGACTGTTTTTCATCACAAAGTTCAAACATTTTGTGACATAACAGCTGTTTTAGCACAAGAGATGAATTTGATAAGTAAAATACAACCTATTTCTAATCTGTTTATTAAGAAAAACAAAAAATAAACAGTTATTTATATTTTAAGATGCTTTAGAATGTATTTGGCTTCTTTTATGCCCCACGCTGCATCAGCATTTACTCCGTCTACTTAAGGAACTTCTACCTTCGCTCCACAAATCCGTCTAGTAGACAAGTACAGTCCTGTTCTGTCTTCGTTTTATTCTCCCAAAAAAACAACCTGCAGTGTTTTAAGGCGTCATCTTACCGTCTTTTAAACTACATGAGTAAACAACTCCTGAGTGTATGTAGGTGTTTTCTTTCCCGTCATTCATGGCTATTCATAGTTTTTTTCATGCTTGGGATGACATTTACCATTCTAGCTTAATAACCACTTTTATTGTGCTTTAACATGCACTCACTTGTCCTTGTGACCTTTGATATTTAATCACTATTGAAATACCTAAATCTTCTCTCGTCACGTTGGCGTGGGATTCCCGTTTCCCTGGGTGTTTTGGGAAGGAATGCGTTTGTTCGTGTTCATTCGATACCTACGACAGCCACGGTGGTGTGCAAATCCATCTCTCCTGTTTGAACCAGTGGGCAAGCCTCAGGGTTGAGTCGAGGATAAGGAGGCGCAGGCAGACGGGCAGCTAAAGGCCGGGTGTTTCCATCAAGCCCCTGTAGATTTATCCTGACTCAGGTAAAAAGTTCCCTTGGAAGAAAATAAAGACGGTGGGATGAATAAGAGTCTGATTCTTGGATGGAAAACATTAGCCTGCCACAAGCCAGACGGCAGGACAGGCTCCTTGAGTCAACCCTTGAGCCAATCAGGAATGGCTTGGAAAGCGTGGAAAAAAAACCCTGACATCTTAGAGGCATCTAACATTTCATGTAACTATTTCTAAACTGTTTTGTGAAGGAATTATTTTAATATGTGCTGAAGCTCATTTAGAGTTCTTTTTTTTTAATGATCGAAATTACAGAAAACTGCAGTCCACTGGAAGAAACAAATGTCTAAAAGAATATAGATTTTTGGTTTCCTATAGTGATGCACCGATATGAAATTTTTGAGCCGAAACCAATATCTGATATTAATCTCACTGTTATGGCCGATAACCGATATTTGCCGATACCGATATACTGACATTAATGCTTCCAAAATCAGCAGATTTTGGATAGAATGCAAACTATTCAAGCTGAATTTACATTATTATGTACACACAACACACACATTTACGGCTCTGAGATGATTTTGTTCACTGTTTGCATGACTAAACAATTTCACATCACCACGCTCACCCTCTGCAACAGGCAAACAAATGGGGACGAGATAGAAAAAATATTGGTTGTTAATATTGGCCTGGTTTAGTTTATCATACCGATATGTTAAAAGATGACTAACATCGGCCGATACCGATATTGATGCCAATATATTGTCCATCCATAGTTTCCTATCTACAAACTCCATTTTGATCCATTACTTAATGGAAGATCCTGCTCACTAGGGCTGTAGCGAAGCCTCGACGAAGTCGACGGCTCGATTCTAAAAATTTGTCGACGTCAGATCCGGAAGTCGACGCACCGCGCCCACTTGTTGCATCCCCAGGAGTTTGTAAATAGAGGAGGAATCTGCCTGTTTTTCCTCTAGTTCGCCCTCTTCTCCGCCTTCACTAACATCTCCGCCAAATACCGAAGACCCGGAACAACGTCCGTCCACTACTAGATTATTTTCCTGTTTTGCCCCTTCGTCTCCCGGCAACGGACAACAACTTCCGGGGTCAAATGCGCTGCTTCGTGCCTACCGCAGATGTAGAAAATCACCGGGAGCGCTTCTCCCTTCATTAAGGAGCTTTTTTCAGACATGAGGAGAGCTGTTTTGGTGGTAGCAGTCTCTCCCTGCTGGTCTGTTTGCTGCTGGGTGTTTTTGGTTTATTTAAACTTGGTAACTTGAACTTAATGTTGGTAAAGCTACTGTTAGCATCTTCGCTAACAGCTTCTTGCGTTGGGATAAGCTGTTACGTACGTTTTGGTTTGGAGTTCATCTTTTTTGTGGTGTAGATCTCCCTTTCATTACATTTAGAGTGTTGTGGGTTTTCGGTTTAGTGTAAAATATCACCTGAGTTTGGTTTAACCCGTAACACCACTCGCCTCACGCACATAAGTGACCAAAACAAAGCAGCATGGAGACACTCCATCTTCTACCACCTCTCAGGCAGCAGCCTGCACTCCCAAGTTCTACACGTCACCAGAACATAACCAACCAACACAATAAACGCAGTGTTATACAAAATGGAAGGCCTGTAGTGTTTATTCTCTTACAGTAAGAATTTATCAATTTTTTTGAGGAATTTATTTGAGATTTTCTGGTTTTTGTTAATTGTGCAATAGAAAAATAATCATTAGATTAATTTTCTAAATAGTCATTAGAATAGTCGACTATTCGATAAAATAATCGTCAGAATAATCGTTTTAAAAATAATCGTTTACCCCCAGCCCTACTGCTCACACATACTCCAGTATTCCACAAAATAAATAGATTTCCCACGGTTTGGCCTGTCATTCTCACAGAAATGAAGATAAAAAACAATTCTTTCTAAAACTCCGACCAAAGTGGTGATTTTAGAAATCTCCATTGTTAATGTTAGCTTATGGACGTAACTAACCAGGGTTTTACCCCTCCTTTCCACCGGACATGAAACGGACATGAAACGTACTGTCCGGCAATTAGCCACCTTTATATTGGAAGGGTCCATTCCACCGGCAGCAAAGTGTAACATTTTTGACACGTCCCAGAAGCAAAGGGGCACAATCATTACGTTTCGAGTCAGTTTCTTATGCGCCACGCTTCCAAGACACGTCAAACTCCACATTTTAAATTTGGCCAGACAGGAAGTCAAACACGAAAGCAGTATAAAACATCCCTAAACTTTCAAAATAAAAGTCACGTGCAGATAAATGTACGTCATTTCCTGTGAAACCTTAATAGCCGATGTAAACAGAACAGAAAATACATCACAGACCTTTTTGGATATATGAAGCCATCTTTCTTCTTGCTTATTATTGTGAAGACTTCTGAAATCACACATGTTGTGGCAATTCTCCCATGATTTTGTGACTTTGCGGTACCAGCAGCTTGGAAAGCTTTCGCTCCCGTTTCGCGTCAGAGTCGCTCCCAGTTGGAAGGGGCTTGCGGATGAAACAGAGCTTTGTCATCCCACACCTCTTTCGCATCCAGTGGAAAGAAGGGGTCAGGTTTCACGATGTCACTGCCTGTGACAAAAATGCTTTGATTTCACATGTGTGACCTGCGTTTACGCTCACTCAAAGTTTAGGACGATCATATCCCGCCACCGAGTTATTCCACATCCAAGAAATGGTTTTTGGTAAAGATGCCAACAATTTGGAGAACTGCTGCCACCTATAGGCTTGGCATGCCTATCAATATGCTTCATAATGGAATCATTATTATTATTTTTGCTAAAAACAAGGTAGCATGGACCCACGTTTTTCCCCTAGATGGGCAGGGGAGGATATATGGCTTTACAAAAACCTGGCTATGTGTACTTGAGCACATAGACACAGAGCAAACAGAAAAATAAATCACTGCCAATGACTCAGAGAAGGGAGTTACAAAGGATGTGCCTTGTGAAGACATGATAAATTAAATAGTAAAATAGAAAAATAAACCAATCAGATGACAGATGTAGCCTAAATCTAGCCTAAACAGCTGTATTTCTTTGCAAGAAGATGCTAGAGCTAACTTTCCTGTGTTTTTCCATCGCTCTATGTGCTTTGACTGCTGGTAATTTCCCAGAGTGATGATTTAAAATCTTTAAGTTTTAATAAGCCCTTCTGAGCTCCACATATGGCTGCATTTAGACTCTTCTCAACAAAAGGAGGATGAACGACTATCTGTCATTGTCAACACTCACTTTTTTAGCAGAAAAACTTGATCTGCTTGTAATTATTATTATTTTTTGTAGTTTCAGATCTTTGGCACACACACATAAACCATTTTACACTTTGGCAAAATAATTCTTGTTTTTAGTTATAAAGCTGAACTCTTAAGTGGCTGACAACCCGCAGTCAGACCAAGACAACCCGCCCTCCCAGGCATGCACTTGTTGTAGCTGTGAAGCCCTCTGCCAGCGAGCAGAAAAAATCGGAGGCCTTTCCAGTTTTAGGCAGCATTCATGGCTTAATTGAAGTTTCTGTGGTCATTTATGGGCCATGTTGGTTTCATGACAATTGCACCATCAAAGCTTGTTGTAGCCCAACTGTGTTAGTTCCAAACAGACTGAAGAAAGTGAAAAAGTATGGATTGCTGTGGTTTAATCTGACAAACTGCTAAATATTTGCAACTTCAAAAGGCCCTAAAAGTCTGGAGTGTAAACCTAGACTAGATTAGACTTCGGTCTTTAGCAAATACTGATTGGAGTATTTACCTCTGCAGAGTTGTAGGATTTGCACAAGCTTGATGCAATATTAGTTTATATTTTGAACTTCATTGTGATGTGAATTTGAGTGTTGTATTTTGTTTTTGTGGATATGAGCACAAAAGTTGAAGTTATTCCCTTCATGGCCAGAAAACCCTACACAAACATGTCCACAACCATCCTGATGATGGAAATATTTACCGTTCAGAATGACTTTGGTACAGCTAATTTGAGGTTCTGTTTATCACCAGTCAAATAGTCTAAACATTTGTGTTTTTAAATCCGATTGTTTACTGTCAATCTCAATTTAGCGTAGCTAATATGAAATATATTGACTATGACGAATGGAAGTTTGCACATTTTGGAAATTGAACTT